TTCCTGGTCTGGTCCCAGTCCTCAATATAGCACGTGTGTGTGTGTGTGTGTGTGTGTGTAGTTCCTGGTCCGGTCCCAGTCCTCAATATAGCACATGTGTGTGTGTGTGTGTGTGTAGTTCCTGGTCCGGTCCCAGTCCTCAATATAGCACGTGTGTGTGTGTGTGTGTGTGTGTAGTTCCTGGTCTGGTCCCAGTCCTCAATATAGCACGTGTGTGTGTGTGTGTGTGTGTGTGTGTAGTTCCTGGTCCGGTCCCAGTCCTCAATATAGCACGTGTGTGTGTGTGTGTGTGTGTGTGTAGTTCCTGGTCTGGTCCCAGTCCTCAATATAGCGTGTGTGTGTGTGTGTGTGTGTGTGTGTGTGTAGTTCCTGGTCTGGTTCCAGTCCTCAATATAGCGTGTGTGTGTGTGTGTGTGTGTGTGTGTGTGTAGTTCCTGGTCTGGTCCCAGTCCTCAATATAGCACGTGTGTGTGTGTGTGTGTGTAGTTCCTGGTCTGGTCCCAGTCCTCAATATAGCACGTGTGTGTGTGTGTGTGTGTGTGTAGTTCCTGGTCCGGTCCCAGTCCTCAATATAGCACATGTGTGTGTGTGTGTGTGTGTAGTTCCTGGTCCGGTCCCAGTCCTCAATATAGCACGTGTGTGTGTGTGTGTGTGTGTGTAGTTCCTGGTCTGGTCCCAGTCCTCAATATAGCACGTGTGTGTGTGTGTGTGTGTGTGTAGTTCCTGGTCTGGTCCCAGTCCTCAATATAGCACGTGTGTGTGTGTGTGTGTGTGTGTAGTTCCTGGTCCGGTCCCAGTCCTCAATATAGCACGTGTGTGTGTGTGTGTGTGTGTGTGTGTAGTTCCTGGTCCGGTCCCAGTCCTCAATATAGCGTGTGTGTGTGTGTGTGTAGTTCCTGGTCTGGTCCCAGTCCTCAATATAGCACGTGTGTGTGTGTGTGTGTGTGTGTGTAGTTCCTGGTCCGGTCCCAGTCCTCAATATAGCACATGTGTGTGTGTGTGTGTGTGTAGTTCCTGGTCCGGTCCCAGTCCTCAATATAGCACGTGTGTGTGTGTGTGTGTGTGTAGTTCCTGGTCTGGTCCCAGTCCTCAATATAGCACGTGTGTGTGTGTGTGTGTGTGTGTGTGTAGTTCCTGGTCCGGTCCCAGTCCTCAATATAGCACGTGTGTGTGTGTGTGTGTGTGTGTGTAGTTCCTGGTCTGGTCCCAGTCCTCAATATAGCGTGTGTGTGTGTGTGTGTGTGTGTGTGTGTAGTTCCTGGTCTGGTTCCAGTCCTCAATATAGCGTGTGTGTGTGTGTGTGTGTGTGTGTGTGTGTGTAGTTCCTGGTCTGGTCCCAGTCCTCAATATAGCACGTGTGTGTGTGTGTGTGTGTAGTTCCTGGTCTGGTCCCAGTCCTCAATATAGCACGTGTGTGTGTGTGTGTGTGTGTGTAGTTCCTGGTCCGGTCCCAGTCCTCAATATAGCACGTGTGTGTGTGTGTGTGTGTGTGTAGTTCCTGGTCTGGTCCCAGTCCTCAATATAGCACGTGTGTGTGTGTGTGTGTGTGTAGTTCCTGGTCTGGTCCCAGTCCTCAATATAGCACGTGTGTGTGTGTGTGTGTGTGTGTGTAGTTCCTGGTCCGGTCCCAGTCCTCAATATAGCACGTGTGTGTGTGTGTGTGTGTGTGTGTGTAGTTCCTGGTCCGGTCCCAGTCCTCAATATAGCGTGTGTGTGTGTGTGTGTAGTTCCTGGTCTGGTCCCAGTCCTCAATATAGCACGTGTGTGTGTGTGTGTGTGTGTGTGTAGTTCCTGGTCCGGTCCCAGTCCTCAATATAGCACATGTGTGTGTGTGTGTGTGTGTAGTTCCTGGTCCGGTCCCAGTCCTCAATATAGCACGTGTGTGTGTGTGTGTGTGTGTGTAGTTCCTGGTCTGGTCCCAGTCCTCAATATAGCACGTGTGTGTGTGTGTGTGTGTGTGTGTAGTTCCTGGTCCGGTCCCAGTCCTCAATATAGCACGTGTGTGTGTGTGTGTGTGTGTGTGTAGTTCCTGGTCTGGTCCCAGTCCTCAATATAGCACGTGTGTGTGTGTGTGTGTGTGTGTGTGTAGTTCCTGGTCTGGTCCCAGTCCTCAATATAGCACGTGTGTGTGTGTGTGTGTGTGTGTAGTTCCTGGTCTGGTCCCAGTCCTCAATATAGCACGTGTGTGTGTGTGTGTGTGTGTGTAGTTCCTGGTCCGGTCCCAGTCCTCAATATAGCACGTGTGTGTGTGTGTGTGTGTGTGTGTGTAGTTCCTGGTCTGGTCCCAGTCCTCAATATAGCACGTGTGTGTGTGTGTGTGTGTGTAGTTCCTGGTCTGGTCCCAGTCCTCAATATAGCACGTGTGTGTGTGTGTGTGTGTGTAGTTCCTGGTCCGGTCCCAGTCCTCAATATAGCACGTGTGTGTGTGTGTGTGTGTGTGTAGTTCCTGGTCTGGTCCCAGTCCTCAATATAGCACGTGTGTGTGTGTGTGTGTGTGTGTAGTTCCTGGTCCGGTCCCAGTCCTCAATATAGCACGTGTGTGTGTGTGTGTGTGTGTGTGTAGTTCCTGGTCCGGTCCCAGTCCTCAATATAGCACGTGTGTGTGTGTGTGTGTGTGTGTGTGTGTAGTTCCTGGTCCGGTCCCAGTCCTCAATATAGCACATGTGTGTGTGTGTGTGTGTGTGTGTAGTTCCTGGTCCGGTCCCAGTCCTCAATATAGCACGTGTGTGTGTGTGTGTGTTCCTGGTGCTACCCTACAAGTGTCTCAGCGGATTTCTATGGGGAGGCCAGAAAGGCCGCGTGGCTGAGACAGTCCTCGGCCGGTGGCCTGCATGCCACTCTCCGGCCGCTTTCAGGAGTGGATCTGAGTAGTCCACTCGAACGCCTGGTGTGGATGGAAGGGAGATGAAGATGAGGACGACCACTGGGTCCCCTGGGAAACCTGGAGGCTTCCGGGAATGGGGGCGGCTGGTGGCTGGAGGTCCCCCCGAGACGAAACTGGAGGTCCTTTTGGTTCAGCAGAGCAAGTCACAGCGTGGAGATACCATGACGACAACTACAGCAAGACAAGAACGATCACAATGACAGCTGATGCCAGGGACACTTGCCATGCGCCTGTTGGCATGCTGGGCACTTCAGGTGGTGAGGGCTTGGGCTGGGAGCAGGAGAGCCGGTGCCAGTGTGCTCCCTGGCACAGCAGCCAGCTTTGGGGGGCTGCAGTTCCCCCTTCCAGGAAGGGAGGTGATAAGACCATCCCCGCAAGGTTATTATCAAAATCACTCCGCGTGTGGGACTTCGAGCAAGCACGCTGCAGAGTGCTCGGGAGGGTGTCCCTCTCAGCTGGGCCGGTTCCCCGTGTCAGATGGGGGTCTGTGTAAGCAGGGCCAGGGTTCCATCTCAGTGTGCCTCGACCTGGGGCTGTGTCACGCTTGGGGTCACGGTTTGTCCTGAGCTCACCTGCAGCTGTGGCACAAGGTCTAGGTTGGTGGGCTGTGCATACTCCATTTCCACCTGAGCTTGCGTGACGGGCCAGCACCCCTGGGCACGGGGCACTTGGGGTGCAATCAGGTGTGCGTTCCGTGCATGGTGTGGACGGGCCTGGCCAGAACCTCATCTCCATCCTTAATCCTTCTTGAGCATCTTCTTAGAGACCACTGAGAAGACATACCTGGGAGCCCACCCCATCTTTCTCCTGCGTGGGGATCATCATGTCCCCATGAGAAGAGCCCCATGGCACAAACCCCAGGCTGGAAGGGGGCTCCTCCCCAGCGCTCTGGACTCCTCGGGCCAGGTCCTGGTCTGCAGAACTAGACAGACATAGATTTTCTCTTCTGGCTCCTGTTTTTCCCTGGATGGTCCAAGTCACGGTGCCGTTCTCTGCTCTCGGAGAAAGGACCCCCAGGCCCCGTCTGAGGACCCTGTGAACCGCGGCCCCAGCTCCAGCGCTTATCAGGGCGGTGAACAGAGAGGGTGCGTCACAGAGGCCGCTGTCCCTCGGCCAGCAAGTCCAGTGGCCGTTGATGGGCTGAAGCAATGACGATGCATTTTTCATTCAATCAGCGGGGTCCACTAATTGCTTTACTCATGTAGGAGCAACAAAGCAGAGATCCCACAGCCTCCTGTTCAGCAGTGGGTGTGCTGGGTGGGCCGCTTTCAAACCCGGCATTTCCATGAAATTATCTTTTCACATAATGAACAGCTGCCAGTTAGCACATGTGCCTGAAGAAGAAGCAGCCCTCGAGAGGGGCACAGGGCAAACACCGTCCGGTACAGGTGAGGGCGGCGAGCGGTCTCCCGGGGGCTGAGCGCCTGCGGAGGTGTTTCCAGAAGGGCTGTCCTCGGGGGTCATGTGGACAGCTGGGAGTGGGAGAGAGAGACAGGAAGAGACAGGGAGAGAGAGACAGGGAGAGAGAGACAGGGAGAGAGAGACAGGGAGAGAGAGACAAGGAGAGAGAGACAGGGAGAGAGAGACAGGGAGAGACAGGGAGAGAGACAGGGAGAGAGAGACAGGGAGAGACAGGGAGAGAGAGACAGGGAGAGAGAGACAGGGAGAGAGAGACAGGGAGAGACAGGGAGAGAGAGACAGGGAGAGAGAGACAGGGAGAGACAGGGAGAGAGAGACAGGGAGAGACAGGGAGAGACAGGGAGAGAGAGACAGGGAGGGAGAGACAGGGAGGGAGAGACAGGGAGGGAGAGACAGGGAGGGAGAGACAGGGAGAGAGACAGGGAGAGAGAGACAGGGAGAGACAGGGAGAGAGAGACAGGGAGAGACAGGGAGAGAGAGACAGGGAGAGGCAGGGAGAGGCAGGGAGAGAGAGACAGGGAGAGAGAGACAGGGAGAGAGAGACAGGGAGAGAGAGACAGAGACAGAGAGAGAAAGAAGTGAGACCGTCATTTAAGTCTCTTGAAAGAAAGATACCGTGTACTTCTTGAGCGACAGGGAGAGCTGTCTCCCTCGGAGACCTCCTCATACACTGGTGAATGTTTTTCCCCCAACAGAAAAAGGGCTCGATCTCCCGACTGGCCCGGAAGAGGGCCACTGTGGAGTGCGGAGTCGCCGCGGCCTCTCCTAAGCAGCCCTTCAGCGTGGCCGGTCAAGTGCACCCCGAGAGCGGCCGCGCGTTTGAAACGGAGAGAGAGCCATGCGACTCCTGGGGCGCGTTTCTGCAAACACGCGAGGAGAGCGAGGCCGCTGCGGCCGGGTGAGATTTCCCCCGAGGGGATTCTGCAAAGTGGGAGGCAAACCATTCCACCCCTGGAATGTAGTATTTATGCCTCCATCAGGGAGGCTCATGACCCTTCTTCTCCGTTGTAATGGAAAAAAGGATATATACTTAGGAAAAAAAATTATTTTTAAAGAAAATCTCTCTCTTAATGAAATGGGGAACTCTAAAATGCCAAAATGAAACCCGAGACGGGGTGGGGGCTCTGGGTGTTCGCCGGGCGAGCCCCGTGCTGCGGACAGGCTGGGGCAGAGTCCCGGCGCCTGGCGGGGAAACGGCTGCTCGCTGGGGAGGGGATGTATGTCCTGTTCGGGCGCAGTCACGCACAGCCCCTCACCCCATCCCCGCAACTCGGGCTGCCTTCGAACGGCGGGAGACGTTCACGTCGGAATCACAGGAACCAGAACTGAGGCGCCTGGCCAGCCTTGTGGGAGGAGGGAACGCCTCCCGGCGGGGGCAACACTGTCCCGGCTCCCATGTCACACGGACACCGTGTCTTCCCAGTGACCCCCAGGACTATGCGGATGTGGACACAGGAAAAGCCAGGCGTGGTTACCGCGATCACTGAGCAGGAGTCGGGTGTGTGGAGGACACGGGAGACCCCGAGCAGGGCGCCAGCGGGGCGGACGCCCAGAGGCCAGGTGGCTGGTGCTCTGTGGTCTGTGTAGGAGGGATGGAGTTGGGCGGCTCCGGCCAGCACGGAAGAGGAGGCATTCGAACTGGTCCTTGAGGGATGAAAGGAGACTTTTCACCAGAGGAGGGACAGGTGAGCATTTGAGGCGGACAGAGCCTGTCAGAGGTGTGCAGAGCTACGCGGGGCCGAGGGGTGTCAGGGAGGGAAGCAGTGCTGAGGTCCTGGAGCGGTGGGCACCCGGTGGACAGCAGCAGGGTGGCAGGAGGCAGGGGTCTGGGGACAAGCAAAGACTCCTAAACAGGACGAAAGGCACCAATCGAAAGGGAGAGTCGGCACAGGGCAAAGACCTGGTCTTAGTCGCCTGAGCTGCTGTGACAAGCAGCCCCCACGGGGCTTACACACAGTCTCCCCGCCTCTCAGCTCCGGAGCCCGAAGCCCAGGACCCAGGTGCTGGCAGGTCGGGGTCGGGTGAGAGCCTGCTTCCTGGACCCTGCAGGGCCGCCTGCTCCCTGTGTGTGTCCTGGCAGGCTGGGGACGGTCCCTCTCACCCCTCCCGGCCCCTGAGCCCCGCCCCCATGACCTCAGCACCCACAAAGCCTCACCTCCAAATACCACCCGTTGCCAGGCAGGCCTTCAGCACGGGAATCTGGAGGCACGGAACGTGCGGTCCGTAGCAGAGCTGACGTTCGCGGGAAGACGCCCTGAACGAGAGTACACAAGGCAGAGTGGAAGCGGCCTGCCCCACACCCAGCAGGGCTGGGCCGAGAAGGGCGGGCAGACGGCTTGCTCGTGGGCGTGCGCGGACCTGCGTCCACTCGGGCAGGCGGCGGCTCTGTTTCCCAGCGCTGAGCCCCGCCGCGCCCCGCAAGCCCACTCCTGGTCACGCTCCACACACAGCCGCGTGCGCATGTGCACCAGGAAACCTACGGGAGGGGGTACGGGAGGGGGGTGTTCAAAGCTGCCTTCCTGGTTGGAACCCAGACCCGTCCCGCCAACGCCCCTCCGCTGGAGAGCGGGCGGGTGGGCTGCGGGCTCCCACACGGTGACCGGTGCGCAGTGGGGGTGCTGTCCCCCGCTCCGTGCAGCCCTCTGCGTGACCCTCGGACCCCGTGCAGGAAGAAGCCAGACTCAGGACAGCACAGGGTCAATTCCACTGACATAAAGGACCAGGGGCAAAGCCAGTCTGTGCTGTTAGACGCCGGGAGGGGCCCGTGACTGGAAGGGGACACCAGGGCACTTGGGGGGCTGGTGAGGGTCTGCTTCTCCACCTGGGTGCAGGTTGGCTGCGCTGCTCTGTGTGTGCAAGGTTGGACGCCTGTGGGGTCTGCTCCACACTGCACACACGTGCTCTTTCAGGGCGAAGCGCCACAGTGTCCTGGTGAATGGTGGCGTCAAAGGTACGCCCATGCCCTAACCCTCGGGACCGGGGAATGTGACCTTGGTGGGAAAAGGGTCTTTGCAGATGCAGTTAAGGATCTCGATGGTTCTGGATTCTCTGGGCGGGTCGTCAGTGCAGTGCTCAGCGTCCGGAGAAGAGATACACGGGCAGGAGAGACTGTAGTGTAGCCACCAGCCCAGGAAGGCCCAGAGCCACCAGAAGTGGGAGGAGCAAGGAAGGTCCTCCCTAGAGCCCCAGGGGGAGCCCCGCTCTGCTGAGCCCTTGATTTTGGACTTTGGCTTCCAGACCGAGAGAATGACTTTCTGATGTGAGCCTCCCAGCCTGTGGTTATCTGTTAGGGTCGCCCGGGGAGACGAACACGCCCGGGAAACTCGTTCTTATGGGGCGGGTGTGGAGGAGGAGGTTCTGGGCAGGGAGGGGCATGCTTGGGATGGTGACTTCAAAGATGATCTGGTTCTCCCGTGGAGAATGGAGAGGAAGGAAGGAGACAGGGGCAGGAGAAAGCTGAGTCCTTTACCGTTTGAAAAATACAACTCCATGCATGAATCAGTTCCTTTAAAACATTCCACCTCTGCCCTGGCCGGTTCTGCTCAGCGGTTACAGCGTCGGCCCACGGTCCAGAGAGACCCGGGTTTGGTTCCCGTTAAGGGCTCGTACCTCGGTTGCAGTTTGTCCCCGGCCCCAGTTGGGGTTGTGCGGGAGGCGACCACTCAATGTGTCCCTTTCACGTCGATGTCTCTCTCTCTCTCTCCCTCCCACTCTGTCTGAGCAAAAATGGAGCAATGTCCTTGGGTGAGGATAAAAAAAAAATTCCATTTCCTGTTTGACTAAAGTTCAGTGGAGATGAGAAGTGGCCAGGTCCTCTCCTTCCTGTCCTCCAGGAGTGCAGGACATGTGGCAGAGTGAGGGCTCAGTCAAGGTATTTCTGTCTTCATTTCAACTTTACTGAGGTATAACCTACATACCGAAAGAGCACAGGTCTTAAATGTAGCATTGATGGGTTTTGATGAAGGTTACAGCCTTCTAACCAACCCCTTCCTGAGCAATTCCGTTATCCCACTTCCTGCCCCACTCAACTGAGGACCTGATTTCTATTAGCGTAGGTTGATTTTGTCTGCTCTTTTTTTCTTTTTTTTATCCTCACCCGAGGACACCTTTGCATTTTTTGTTCAGACAGAGCGGGAGGGAGAGAGAGGAAGAGAGAGAGAGAGAAACATCGACGTGAAGGGACACATCGAGTGGTTGCCACCCGCACGACCAACCAGGGCCGGGGACAAACTGCAACCGAGGTACGTGCCCTTAGCGGGAACCGAACCCGGGTCTCTCCAGAGGGCTGCCTGCTCTTTTTTAAAATTGGTTTTTAGAGAGATGAAGGGAGAGGAGGAGAGAGATAGAAACATGGATGAGAGAACATCGATTGGCTGCCTCCTGCACGCCCCCTACTGGGGATCGGGCCCACATCCTGGGCATGTGCCCTGACTGGGAATCTCCTAGTACATGGGTCATTGCCCACCCACTGAGCCACAATGGCCTATTCTCGAATGAACATCATGTAAGTTACATCATACATTTTGTACACTTTTATGCCTGCCTTCTTTCATCAGCATGCTTTTGAGATTCTTTCATGTTGTTGCTAAGCACTTTGGACATTTTTGCTGTTGACTAGTATTCCATTTTATGGATGTACCACCGTTTGTCAGTGCTCTTGTTGATCGACATTTTGGTTATTTCCAGTTTTTGTTATGAATGAGGCAGCTACAAACATCCACGCATAAGTCCATATGAAGACATATTCTTTCATTTCTCTTGGGTAAATGCCTGGGCTGTGGAGGGAATAATTAACTGTACAAAATACTGTCAAGTAGTTTTCCAAAGTAGTTTCATCACGTTAGACTTTTTACTCCCATGCCAGCAGTATATGAAAATTCTGGTTAGTTCACATTCTTGTCAACACTTAGTATTATCTGTCTTTATTTTTAGCCATTTTGGTGGTTAAAAAGTGGTATCTTATGTGGTTTGAATTTGCATGTCTCTGACAACTAATGCTGTTGAAAGTCTTTCCATGTGCTCGGGGGACATTTGTGCATCTTTTGCAAAGTGCCTGTTCGAGTCTTCTGTTCACTTGATTTATTGGTTGGTTTATCTTGCGGTAAGAGTGCTTTCTGTATTCAGAATATAAGCTCTCTTTTAGATACATGCATTAAAATCTTTTCTCTCAGTCTGTGGTGTGCTTTTTCCTTATTGAAGTGGGTTTCTTTTGAAGAGCAGAACAGAAGTGTTTCGATATGATGAAGACCAATTTATGGTTTGATTTTGTTAGGGTTCATCCTTTTTGTAGCCTCAAAGACTTTGGGATCCTGAAGATTTTTTTTGTCTTTGTTTTCTTGTAGAATTATTTCGGTCTTAGCTTGTACACTGAGGTCTGTGATCCATTTCAGGTGAATGTTGTGTACGGTAGGAGGTGGGTGCCGGTTCATCAATATTGTTCAACTGGATGACAGGCACAGGCATCGGGGTGAGGAGGGATGTTGGCTCACACCCATAAACTAATCTGACAGTGACATTGAGAATTTACTGGGTGCCAGTCACTGTGCTGAACTCTGGAGCTACACTGTGGTAGCAAAACAGACTCGTCTCCTGCTTGTATGGAATTTATCACCCAGGGAGCAGAGAGCTAGCTAGCTAGACATGAACAAATCAGACACATAAATGCACAGTGATGACTGTGGTAGGAACTCAGGCATAGAGGTCCCAGTGTCACATGTTTCTGGGGGAAGGCTTTTCGTGAGCACGATGCCATCAGGAACTCTGCAGGGAGACAAGGAGGTAGCTCGGCAGCCGGGGTGGGGGATCGGAGGGGCAGCGTGTGTCAAGTCTCCTTGGAGGTCAGCCCGGGGGGCAGGGGGACTTGCAGGTGGTGCTGAGTCTGTTTTGTCCTGAGAACAACGGGAGGACACGGGTGTGTTCGAAAGGGTGTGTGTGTCACATGCGGCTGGTGGCATTCTGCAGACAGTCCCCCTGGTGCCCCTGTGCAAGGCCACCCGCTGGTGTTGACGGTGCTGCGGTCGGAGGCCTTGTATCGGATGTGGAGCAACCTGCCCTGGGACAGGACGTGTGGCTGCTGTGATTGTGCGACCGCACCAAGGTGGGACCCCACACCCCTGGGAACAGGTGATGGGCCGAGCTGCCCCATACCCACGACCTCACTTCACTGCACGACTGTTTGGTCAGGGAGGAGTGGTGGCCACTGATACTTCTTGTCGTGTCCTACCTTGACAGAGGAGGGACCCGAGAATCGCGGAAGGTGGGACTGCTCACGCCCACTCAGCCAGGCGCGAGTAAACCCTGGTCCCCCTGCTCCGAGGACCCCCGCCCCCAGAGAACCCACAGCCCGCAATCGTGTCCAAGTTCGATGCGTTTGCCAGGCTCGGGTTCTCCATGGGCTGGTGCCAGGGGGCTGATTCCGGTTGGCGATTGGGGGATCTGGGGATTGGGCTGTGAACAAACCCTCGGTGCAGAGCAGGGGCCCGGACGACTGCGTCTGGTGATCTGGAGCTCAGTGACGGTCTCCGACGACGACTAAACACCCACCCAGTGATCCACCATCTCGGCTGTTCTGCGACTGCCTGGATGGGTACAGCCAGGAGCAAGCACCCAGAGAGGAGAGGCGCGGTGGGGAGAGCCCAGCTCGGGCCAGGCAGACTCACGTCCCAACCCCGGGCTTCCGCTCAGCAGCCGTGACCCTTGAGCAAGGCTCAGCCTCCCTGGGCCTCAGTTTCCTTATTCGTGAAACACAGATCCCTCGTGTTGTAAGAAAGTACTGGGAGAACCATTCCGTGTAAAACACCGTTCCGGTGCTTGGCTCACAGTGGGGGCTCAACAAACGTGAGCTTCTGTGGTGGCAGCGTTGTTCTTATGACTGGGGGAGGAGGCTGGCTGTGTGGGTGAGGTGCCATTATCATCAGCACTCCACGGGGAAAAGGACACCCGGATTTATTCCCGGGGACGTCCCTCTCCGTGCCGACCCAGTGCCTGCTTCGGAAGGACAGCGCTCCGGGGGTGCGTGGTGGGTCACACCGCGAGGCTGACAGTGCTAATCACCCCCGCACGCGCGGCTCCTTCCCTTCGCAAAGGTACAGTCACATCTCGTACTGCGTTGTCGCCCCGAACAGCCCCCTGAGGCTGGCCGGGCAGGCGAGAGTATCCCTCTCTCTGGACGGGGAGACGGAGACTTGGGAAACCAGGGTGATTTGCCCGGGGCCACAAGGAAAGGTGGTGACGGGGCCGGTGCGAACTTGGCGGTCTGCTGCCTCGTTCACTGCCGCGTGTGGGCAGGAGGCACCGGGCTCTGCAACCTCCTCGCACCATCTCGACAGCCGCCGTTCACCGAGCACTGCTACCTGCCGGGCCCGAGGGTAGGTTAGTACCGCGTGTGTGCGTGTTAATTCACTGCATCCCCTCGGAGGTCCCAGGGGGCAGGTGTGGGCCTTATTTACCTGCAGGGAGGCTGGCCTGATCCCATCCCACCCAACGGCAAACCGCGCTCCGTCCCCTCTCCTGTTCTGCCCCCAGAAGAGAAAGGAGCACCCCAAAGTGCAAGCAGCCGGAGCTGCCCAGATGGACACAGGTTTGAGTGGCTTCCTATCTGAACTGGGCTTAAGGAGACCTTTATCTTCATGACCATCGCTATCATGGCCGGGTGGATGTCTGGGTGTCTGTTTAGAGGCTAACAGGTTTAGTTTTATTGTTTTGTCAAAATACTGCAGAAATCAATATATCTCCATAATTCAGTGTTATACCAAGAGGCATTTTTGTACCATATATAGCAAAAATCGTATTATACTTTTGAGATCGTAGGTAATGATGACAGAGTGTTCTGTGTTCAATTCCAGCATTACCGTCTGGTTTGAACAAAGCTTGAAATATGATCTCCGAGCGAAGAGGCTTTAATATTAAGATCTTTAACTGTAATTTATGTGACAGAAGATCAGGTTTAGCATAATAAAACGTAATGGGCTCCTCAAATGAAGAGGACGAGAGACAATTGAAAACAAGGTAAAAATGGTAAATGATAAATAATGGTAAATCTACCTTTCTGTTGTTACTTCATTTATTTCTGATTTGTTAGAGAGGCCCTGCAATTTCTCATCTCCCCGTGTTTCCGAGCAGGACATTTCTCAAATGGTGTCTATTTGAAACGAGAGCCCGGAGTGGCCGTGGCCTGAGCTTCCCCAAGGGGCCAAGGGACACTTCTGCCTCCCGGCGCCGAGCGTCTGGGCGACCCCGTCTGCCTGCGCGCTCTGTCTCCCTGTCTTCCTGGTAGTTGCGGGGTGGTGTTATTTTTAAGTCGGCCGCTACTTATAAATGCTGTGGTGTGGAACTGTACCCACGTTATGCCTCCGTGAAGGATTTTAGACCTGAACCCAGACAGTCAAAGACACAGAGGGGAGAGAGGCAGGCGCGTTGGCACGAGAGCTGGGGGAGACCCGGGTTCCCAGCTGCCGGGGCTGCGACAGTTTCTGGAGATTTGATGACCCGATGGAAGGAAAAGAGGTGGGTGGTCCTTTTTCCGAGGGGGGCATTTCCTGGCATGTCACCTGGGAGATCTTGGGTGACACATTTTCCCTTTCAGGCACACTTGCGTTCTCAGAACGTGCTCGCTTCCGAGTGTGGAGGTGAACGGGCAGAGGTGGGGTGGGAGAGGGGCAGCTTCACACGCGTCCGGCCCCCGGGGCTGGGCTCTGTCTGGGAAAAGCCGCCTTCCGTCCGGACTCATGGGGTGTCCCAGCCCCACGGCTGCACTGTCTGGGCGGAGGGGTTCGTGTAGAAGCCTCCCAGGAGGAAGGGGGCGGGGGAGAAGGCTGAAAGTCACCTCTGGAACCGCGAAGGCATGAACATCTGTGCTCCGGTCTGAAGCTCCCTTTGGCTCAGAGCCACTGGAGGGACCCAGGGCTGGACCCTCCCTCTGCCCGCCTGGGGCTGAGACGGGCCCTGCAGCCCAGACCCTGCCGAGTGCACAGGTGCCTCCCACGGTGCCAGCAGGTGCATTTATGCCTCCTCACAGTGCGCTTGCCTGCAGGAGCGGCCTCCCTGACGCTGCCCGACGGCCCCCGCAGACCTTTCTGGGTGCCCTGGGACCTCTCCCACAGCGACTCCTAAGCTGCAGGTGTCCTGGGAGGGTGTGGCAGCCTGTGATCGGGCACCGTAGCCCTGGGTGAGCTGCCAGGGCTGTCTCCTCCAGAACGGAGTCCCCAGGCTACCGAGGCAGGAGCGGGCACCCCCGGTCACAGGACCTACTACAGGAGGTTAGGTTCGCCCAGCCACCGGAAGGGCTGGGAGCCAGCTGCCGGGCAGGAGATGCAGTGTCTCCCCTGTGCCCACCCTGTGCCTCCGTAGTCTCGGTGGGCGCCGCCTCTGCCAACCTCACCTCCCTCGGCTCCCACGTGGGTGATGGACGTCTCCGCAGGTTCGAGCTCTGTCCACATCCCTGCCCGAAGCAGCCGCTGGAGATACTCCCAGCTCCTCCCGCCTTCCCACCTGCACAGCGAGCTCACGCAGGGGTGGCCCCAGCCCAGAGCGACTCAGGAGAGGGTTTCACGACGCAGCCGGCTTCGTCCCTGTGCGCAGAGGGGGAGGACCCTCGAGATCCCGGCTTTCTCTCATTTCTTCCCTCATTGCTGCCGGCCCACAGGAGCCTGACCGCGGGCGCGTAGTAGGGGCCCTTTGTGGGCCCTGCCCAAGGCCGTGTTCCTGCTCCTCCAGCCCTGCACCCCCCGTTTCCTGAGTCCTGGAACACGTCCATGCTCCCACTCGGCTCCAACCTTTCCAGCTCGCGCCCTCCCCGTCTGTTTCCATCTCCCACGTGCAGGGACACCTGACCCTGGCCTGGGCGGGCCATTGTTTGCTCTCTCGGGGCCCACACGGTCCCTGTGGCTGTATCGCATGTGTAATTAAATGCTCATCTGTGTAATTACTTGTTTACTCTCTGGTTCCCTGCCAGGTTAAATTCCACGAGGTCAGGGGCTGTGTCTTCCGCGCACAGCGCTCTGTTCCCAGCATCCCCTGCAGCGTGGCCCTCAGAAAAGATGTTGTTTGAACGGAGGGCGATGCCATGCTCTGCACGAGTCTCCAAACGAGATCGTCGCTAAGGAAGCTTTGTAGCAGACTCGCTCGCGAAACTAAACCACAAGGACCCATCCTCCCTCCGGAGCCGTACAGGACTTCACAGCTTCCGAATCACTTTCTATCATCCGTGCATTTGTGCGTCCATCTGGGAAGTGTTTCTGGAATGCCTGCCGGGTACATGGCACGGGGTCGCTCCGAAGCTAACCTAGAATGTCACCGCCCGAGGACGGGCGCTCAGAATGGCGGAGGGACCAGCCACTTCTCTGTGCGGAGGGTCAGCTCCTTCCCTGCACCGCAGCCAGAGGCCACGGCTCGTGGGCCTTGGGTGCCCCGGGAGGATGTGGCCGAGAACAGGACGGGATCACAGCGGTCACTGGAGAGCTGTTCTGGGCATGCCATCTACGTGGTGGTCTGTGACCAGTGGGCATCGGGAGTGCACGCTCAGTGAAGCTACCAGCGCCATATGGGTTCTGGCAGCTCCCCCACATTCAGGACGGACTTTCGCCGCTGCGGGGACTTTGCCAGTGGAAGCCACGGTGGATTAGACGGAGGTCAGCAGCCCAGCGAAACGGGCCTGTGGGTCCGCAGTCTGGAACATGGAGGATTCCTCGGGGAGTGGGATTCGTGAAATATTTTCGAACTTTGTGGCAGTTTTCTCTGAACCCATGAACGCCGTAGTCCAAGCGTCTGCGGGGCAGCCAGGTGGGTCCCCTCAGGGCCAGGTGCCGGCACGGCCTGAGTGGGTCCCGTGCTGTGTTGAGAAGCGGCTGGAAGGACCGCTCTGTGGTCCTGGGAACTGTGCAGCCCGGCGTGGCTGACTCTTCACACCCTGCAGGCGCGGACGGCGGTGTCTGCTCCGTGCTGTCATTCAGGGCTTTGTGGAGAAACAGAACCGCAGGACGTGGTATCTGCCACCAGGAGGCGCTGGCCCTGTGATGACAGAGGCTGGGTGCACAGGCCACCGTCTGCTGGAGCGCCCCTTGAGTCTGAGGCCTGCTAACTGGGGAGCTGGCGGTGCAGGCCCAGCCCAGGCCTGGAGAGGACCGCATCCCCGCTCGGGCGGGCAGGCGAGAGGGGACCAGCCCCCACCCCGTCTGCCTGCTGTGCCAGTCAGGCCCTCAAAGGGTTGGGTGGTACCCACTCACGTGGGGGAGGGAAATCTGCACCATTGCGTTCACCCGCTCAAATGCGAACCTCATCTGGGAACGGGCTCACAGAACCCCAATAATGGTTAATCCGGGTGCCCCGTGTCCGGTGGAGATGACACATACAGCCAACCACCCCTGTGCCCACTGGAGCCAGCAGCCCTGAGGGCCAGCCCTCCCCGGCTCCTCCTGGGTCCAGCTGCCAGGGAAGCCAACGGGCGGGCAGGCTGCAGCCCGGGAGAGCTGGGGTCCTGGGCCTGCGGCAGAAATGGGGGTCAGGGTGAGGACGCCGCCTCCCGGCTCGGCCCCTGGGCTCCAGGAGGACACCTCCGCGCTGGCTGCCTTGAGACCTGCCTGTCCCCACGCACCTGCCAGTTGAGGCTGGTCACAGCCCTCTCCCTCTGCTCGTGAACCTCCCACTCGTTTGCTCCGTTAGGAGAAAATGTCTCTGTTTTGGTCCCACTGGCGATGAGCTCTTGGCGACCATGCTGCTGCCGAGGGCCGTGGGAGACACGAGGAGTGGGTGGGGGGGTGCTGGCTGCGGCAGCCAGGCCACACGGAGCAGGAGCGGGCGGCAGAGTCACGCGTGTGGAAGGGGCCCCCCTGGGGAGGTGGGAGTGGAATGTTCCCTAAGAGTTTGCACTTGTCCCGAGAAGGGGCATTAGGGTGACCCTGAGGTGGCTTTCCAGCTGCCTGAGACGGATGCTCATGCCGAGCCGTCCACGGAGACCACGGCAAGGCTGTGACACCACAGCGTGGCGGCCTGTGGGAGGCACATGGTTCCAGCCCCGCGGGGACCTGCTAGCGTGCTCCCGTGAGGATTTGGGGTGGGGAGGTGGGCCTTCCTGCTCAGGGCCCTGTGGGGTCTCTGTGCCAAGCTTTTCCCTCCGGCTTTGGTGGGGCCCGCCCCTCCCTCTGCCCACACGCTTGGCCTCCCACTCCTTACTGCTCTGCCCACCCCTGCCCGAACCCCTTCCTAACCCCGCTGTCTTCCCCCCACCTGGCCATATTCTACCTGGCCTGCAGGGCCGAGTGCGAGCTTTACCTCATCCACAAAGCGCTCCTCAGCCCACTGATTTCTTTGTCCCAGTTCTGTCCCTGAGATGGGACCAGAGTCAACTGGGCAGTGGCCTGTCGGTGGAAATAGGCACGATTCTAGCACCCTTCCCACCCAAGCTCCACTCCTAGTGAAGCCTTGAGCCCCTCCCTGTCTGCGTCCGCCCATCGCTGTGCCAGGAACCAGGCGTCTGCTCAACAGTTCAGGTGCCTGGCCTTGACCTTTGCCCCTGTAGTTCTCCCCAGACACCTGTGGGGTGCCTTGTAGAATGCAGATGCTCTCTCAGCGG